TGCTATGCATCTTGAGCTGTACACTCTTACCTAAGATGTGAACTTAAGAATTTAAGATGTGAACTAATAGTATTCTGCTTTTATGTAAAAGAGATAAGAGATAGGTTGATAAGAATTTTGGGGGCATATGAGCTGGGAGTCTCTCGACCAGGGAGCAGGCAACTCTCAGTGGGTCGGAGGCCCAGGCGGAGGAGGGCAGCAGCGCAGCACTTGGTGCACCCCACACCTTAGTACCCACGGGGGCGCCCCAATGTCACCCTGGATCCCTCCCTTCTGCCTGCCTTTGTCAGCACAGTGACTGATCGATCAGCTGACCCAAGAACAGATTGCTGAATTCTAGGAAGCTTTCTCCCTAGTAAAAAAAAGATGGCGATGGCATCATCACGACACGGGAACTTGACACTGTCATGAAGTCCTGGGTCAGAACCCAACAGAAGCTGAATTGATCAGAGAGGTAGATGCTGACAGTAATGGCACCATTGACTCCCCAGAATTTTTGGCTATGACTGCTAGAAAAATGAAAGGTACAGACAGTGCAGGAGAAAGCCACGAGGCATTCAGAGTCTTTGACGAGGATGGCAATGGTTACATCAGTGTGGCAGAACTTCGTCATGTCATGACAAACAGGAGAAGAACTAACAGATGAAGAAGTAGATGAAACTGGCAGAGGCGCAGATATTGATGGAGATGGATAAGTCAACTATGAAGAATTCATACAGATGATAATGGCAAAATGAAGACCTACTTTCAACTTTTCCCCCTATGGAAGAATCAAATAGAACTTTGCAAAAAACAGTAATAATAATTTACTCATTCTCTTTCTATATAGCAAAGCTGAATATCAAGATTACATTCTATCAACACACAAAAAAATCTACATGTATTGGTTGGTGGTCCTCTCCCCTATAGACCAAGCTACACATTAGTTTTACAATATAAATGCTTGTATTACCTTAATGATAGGGAAGCTCTTAGTGGACTCCTTGCAGAAGGTCCTTTTGCTAATGATTAATACACTGTTTGGCCTGGCCAGTTTTTCATGTGCACAGCTTGACCATTGAGCACAATCAGGGATTTGTATTAAAAATGAAAAACGAAAAAAGAAAAAAAACTTATTCAAATAGGTTCTAGCTCAGTGTGTTAGTATAAATGGCCATAGCTGCTTTACTGAAAGGAAACACATTTAAAATTGGTTTCCCTCAGGGTGTGTGTAGAAAAGTGGGCGATGGATAAACCGTCTAGACATAGCCCACTAGCAGGATGGTCCTCTTATACTTCCATGTGCCCCAACTCTTGGTGACGGTGACTCATCCTGGTGGCATACCCACATGTGTTGGTTTGGCATCGTCTGCATTGCACTAGAGCAAAATGGGTGTCAGGCTGTCACTAGTCTACCAAGGAAGTGTCTTTGGACCCTTTGTTGGTAATACCTTCTGAACCATGGCTTGGAGCCAGCAGGGGTAGGCTGTGGGTATGGATTTCAGTACCACCATCAACACTGCTGTTCAAGAAATTACAATTTACATCTATTCCAAGTTGTAAATGCTAGTCTTTTTAATGGTCTTTCCAATAAAAAGACCATTAACTTAAAAAAAATAACTTTTGGAAAATGTCAGAATATGACCACAGTGCAGAATGGTTTCAGCTTAACACCCTATGTCAAGACCCTATGTTGACAATTTAATGGATGATAACTGAGGTTCACAGGTAGGTTTTGAATCAGCAGCAAAGACTGAGCTATATTTGACATGCTTTCAGAGTTCTATATTTTATTGGCCACCTAACAATGATCACTGTGCAAAGCCTAGATTGGCGAGGCTCCTTAGTGAACCCTTCATAACTGAGGCAGGATGGGAAGTCAGAGACTCCAGCCTCCTAAGCTGGGTCTGTTACCTCCTAGCTTTGGCCTACATTGGTAGACTGAGGGGATTGGATTTAAGAATCTTATTCTTTTTTTTCTTCCACCTTAAAAAAATTTAATTGTTCAAGTATAGTTTACTGTCTTTAACTCCCGTCCCAGCTCACCCACCCAGCCCTCCCCACCTCTGTCCCATTTCCAACCCCCCTTCACCCACTGGTTTTTGTCCATATGCCTTTTATACTTGTTCCTGTAAACCCTCCCCTCTCCCCTCTGGTCACTGTCAGCCTGTTCTCTATTTCAGTGTCCTTGGTTATATTTTGCTTGTTTATTTTGTTGTTTGGATTCCTGTTAAAGGTAAGACCATATGGTATTTGTCTTTCACCACCTGGCCTATTTCACTCAGCATAATGCTTTCCAGTTCCATTCATGCTGTTGCAAAGGGTAGGAGCTCCTTCCTTCTTTCTGCTGCATAGAATTCCATTGTGTAAATGTACCATAGTGTTTTGATCCATTCATTTACTGATGGGCACCTAGGTTGCTTCCAGCACTTGGCTATTGTATATTGTGCTGCTATGAACATTGGGGTGCATAGGTTCTTTTGGATTGGTGTTTCAGGGTCAGAATGGCTATCATAAACAAAGTAACAAGTGTTGGAGAGGTTGTGGAGAAAAGGGAACCCTATAACACTGTTGGTGGGATTGCAGACTGGTTCAACCACTATGGAAAACAGTATGGAATTTTCTCAGAACACTAAAAATGGATCTGCCTTTTGACCTGGCAATTCCACTGCTAGGATTATATCCTAAGAATGTTCTTCTTTATATTTTGTGTTTATATTGTAACTTCCTTTGGCAGGATTTCAAGGGTTTTTACAATATGCATAAATCTAGTTCAGAAAACAAAACAAATAAAACATATAGTGATCAGAAATAGCATAAAGTTAAGAATAACTGACCAAATGACTATATCTCACTCAAACACTAGTCAAACACTAGTAGGGTTGCAAACTCTAAAATGTCTTAAGAGATGAGGCCGATGTTCCAGTTTTATTGCTGCATAAAAATCTTCCCCAAACTCAGTGGCCTTTAAGCCACAACTATTATTGCAGCATTTGTGGGGCAGGGTTTGGGCAGGGCTCAGCTGAGTGAGTCTTCTGGCCACACGATGCTGGTGGAGGTCGCTCGGTGCTGTTTAGGGGCAGACGGGCTGATCTGGAGGATCCACTACAGCTTTGCTCATGTGCTGGCCTCCTGGGCAGGAGTGGCTGCGGCTGGGCTTCACTGCCACAGTGACTGCATTGCCTACACACGGCCTCTCCAGCACGACAGTCTCAGTCTAACACGGTAACTCAGAGCCTCCAGAGAACATGTTCTGAGAGACCTGGACGGATGTGGTAAGGCTCCTGTGACCAGGCCTTGGAGTCCCGGGACGTCACTTCCAGTGGGTTCTGGAGGTGAAGCAAAGTTACTAAGGCCCAGATTCAAAGGGAAGCAAGCATGTTAAACTCCTGCCATTGAGAAAGTTCTCAAAGCAGGGAAAGCAAAGAACTTGTGGCCATTTAAAAATTTTTTGTTTTCTTTCATTCTTTTGTTATTATAGTAAAATACCCATAATGAAAAAATTTCCCTAGCACTTTAAAGTGTGCAGTTCAGTGGGACTCAGTGCATTCACACTGTTGTGCAACCATCACCACCATCCGTCTCCATAACTCTTTTCACCTCACAAAACTGAAACTGTGCCCATCAAACCGTAGCTTCCCACTCCCCCCTTCCCTCAGCATCTGGAAACCACCATTCTGCTTTCTGTCGAGTAAATTCATATACTTGAAATCATACAGGTTATTTGTCCTTTTGTGTCTGGTTTATTTCACTTGGCATAATGTTATCATGGTTCATTTGCGTTGTAGCACATGCCAGAATTTCCTTCCTTTTTAAGTCTGTATAACATCCTGTCTATGCGTATACCACATTTTGTTTTTCCATTCATCCATCAATGGATGAATTGTGAAACATACTGCTACAAATATAGGCGTGTAAATTGTGGCCATTTTTAATCCAGTAGAACAGAGGACATCAATGAGTAAAATAGGCTAGGAATAAGGAAAATTCCAGTGAAAACACAGTGAAAATGGCCACCCACTTTCAGCATTAACAAGACACTTGGGATGTGTAAGCCTGGGGAGCTGGGGGTATGGGCTGTGGGTCTGATCTACGTATGGTAGCAGCCACCATTAGTGCCAGCAGCTCCTGGGCATGGGGGGACACACAACCCGAGTGGCCCCACTTTCTGTTTCAAGGAAAATGAACATTATGGATTTTTATGTGACCTTTCTCAATTTTTAAATGTTGTCACCTGAACCTGAAAAACCTTTAAAGATTGTCAACTCAAATAAAAAAAAATCTTTGGGCTGTATACTTTGAGATCTTTTCCTAAAACACATCAATCAGTAAAGATTTGTAATGATGGATATCAGGGCCTTGTCTGTTTAAATAGTGTAGACCAGAGATCAATGGCCTTTTTTTTAAAGGAGCAGATACTACCCTTATCAGCAGAGGCTTTTAGGATAAGTTTAATTAGCATAAGCTTCCCTCTTTCTGGTTTCTAATTCCTCAAATACTTTCTTAAGCTCAGTATTGATTCCCATTTTATGGGAATGTGATCATAGCCCAAAGGAAAGCCCAGAATACAACTGTCTAAGTGGATATTGAAATTAATTTGAAAATGAGGACTTCTTTAGGCATGCTCTGATTTTTATCAATTTGGTGATCCTATAAATGTGATCTGAACATTTATAACAGAAAAATATTATATATTTCACATACTTCTAAAATTCCAATAATTTATTATGCTACTTAAGCAATACGTAATCTCTGTCAGATTGGGAATCTTAACTGGGTGCGTTTGTTACAGTTAGGTGAGATGTGCTTCAATATCATAAACTGTTCAGCCAGTTTTACAAGTGGAGGGAGTAAAAAGTGGGAACATCAGGGAAGACAAAAAAGGGACTAAAGAATTACATGTCAAAGTCTCCCAAATTAAAGATGATTTCTTATGGGAAAAAAAGACCTACATCTATCCCAAATGATTGAATCATGCTTTCACACATCATTGAAAATACTGTGTGTTTTAATTTCAACAGAAAACCAAACCTTTGATGACAGAATTTTCCGTGAAGTCTACCATTATTTCTCGCTATGCCTTCACTACCGTTTCCTGTCGAATGATGAACAGAGCTTCTGAGGACCAAGACGCTGAGTTTCTGATGCAGATTCCAGCCACAGCTTTTATCACCAACTTCACTATGTAGGTGACATTGGTCAGAGACCCCAGGATGAGGACATCTATGTAGGGTGGTCTGGGGGAACCTGAGAGGATGTGTGGCCCACAGCCCTGGCTGTGAGAATCTTTCCCAGATGATGGCATATGGGTCAGAAGGCTGATCCTTCTTTCCCTCCCTCTGCCGTCCTCTCTCTCTTTTGTGTCCTTACTTCTTTCTGTGACCTCTTCTTTTCCTCTTCCTTTCTCTCCTTCCCTCCAACAAGGAGGCACTCTTCAGAGTGATTGTACACTTTTAGGAAAAAGACAATGCTGTTCTGCTCCAGAAATTTTATAATAATAAGTAAACAAATCAATAAATGAGATAATTTCAGGCAGTAGCAAATGCTGTAATGATGGCGAACAGAACTGAGAGGGGCTTGTTGAGGTAGGGAAATCAAGGAGGTACCTCAGAAAAGGCAACGTTTAAGTTGTGATCTGAATAATGAGACAGCATGAAACCTTTGCTCTGTTAGTTATATTTCTTCTTTTCCCAGTGGATGGTAAAGATATGCAAAAGAGGGGAGGTGCTTGATTTGCATTTTAGGCCTGGGCAAGATTCAAGTTCGTGAGATGTCTTGGAAGTTTGAGCAGATTCCCTGATTTCTCCCTGAAGAATCATAGAGGGACTGTGGGCTGGGTCCTACCTTCTGTACCTGTTGAAAATTGCTCTAGTATGAAATGAATGATTTAAAGGCAGTGGCCTGGTTTGGAACGTAGGTTCTGCATATGCAAGAGGCAAATAAAAATATTTTTTACCATTGTCGTGATTATGAGATCTATGTTTGTATTTGTCTGGGAGCTGCGAGCTGGTAACACAGCTGTCTCTGGTTTGCAGGCTAATTGGAGACGAGGTGTATCAGGGAGAAATCACAGAGAGAGAAAAGAAAAATGGTGATAAGATAGAAGAGAAAAGGAATAAAACCACAGAAGATAATGGGTAAGTGCCCTTTTATTAAGGAATTAAAAATTCACTTTAGCAAAATGTCAAATTTTCTACCTCTTTGCCTAGCCACCTGGACCTCTTTTCTTCCTTTAAGTACTTATTTTCTTTTTATTTTTTAGCATAATAATAAAATGTACCTTGTTAACACCACAGTAGAGAAGGAGTTATAGTAAAAAAGGAGCATTTTAGCACTCCTGCTGCCCAGTTCTCACTCTCTAGAAACATCCACTTCTAATATTTTCGTAGCTTTTTGTTGTTATCCCCCCTAACTCTAAATATTTTATGACAGTCTTTGTTTTTCCAAATTTCTTGATAAAAATCAGATGTTATCCATTGAGTCTTTGCTGGGAAATCACAGGATAATTTAGCATAATTGCAATGCTTCCATTCTCCCTCTGCATCCCAAATCTTTACATAATTATTCAGTCTTCTTACATCAGTTTAAGCAGTTGCACCCTCTCAGACTGGCCCCGGGATCTCCGATGACGCTGTTCCCTCTCCTGCGCTTTACCGTACCTTTCAGTGTTCATTTCCAGCTCCCATCTTCCCTGATCTAACCATTTACTTTTGAATTCCCAGATTTACTGACTTTTAAATTCTGACCTGTCCTGATAGTTGTGTTTTTTGTTTTGTCTATAAGCTGAACCTAAACACTGAAAATCAAGAAACAGCATTTACTTTTTAACGATATATAAATCACTAACCGCAGAGCTATCTAGTATACTAAGAGAATCTAGCATACCAGGATTCTCTTTCCCTCTTTACCAGCCCATTTGGAGAAAAATGGTCTTAGCATCTAGATAAAATGTGAAATGCAGTGAACATGTAAACCTGCTTTTTTTCATTAATAAAAGAATATAGTTTTGAGGAAGATTGTTCTCTGAAATCGTAGACTGTCAGACACTCTGCTGTTGGAAATCTTCTTAGAGAGAATGGAACATGGGAGTCATGGGTTCGTTTTGATCACAAAAAGCAACCAAGGTCCACAGCTTCAGATGAGGGGGTGTCTGCCACGGAAGTCCACATTTATCTTAATTTTGTAGTTCCTGAGGACAAGGAACCTTGAATTTGCTTCTCAGTTCAGGCTGATAATAAATGCTTTACACATGGCCCTGCTTGTCTCTGAGCTTCCAAACTCCGCTTCATTTGACTTCCCCTACACCCCACCCTTCCCCCAATGCTGTAATAACCCGTGTCCTCCTTGGTTTGGCAAGATGCTCCATGATTCTTCTGGTATATAATCTCCCTTGCCACAGCGGGTTATTAAAGCCTAACTTTGCTGGTCTATAAGTGGTCTTTATCAGGCGGGCTCGATCAGGATTATCATTTCTCACAGTTCATAAATCGTTCAGAATCATGGCACAGTTTTGTTTAGTCAGATCACAACACCTACATGCCTGTTTTTTCCTGGAGTTTCCCATTGATTTTCCTATGAGATAAAAACTTAATATTGTCACAATTAACATCTAGCAAGACACATAACTCATTTGAAATGGTGACTAAGTGAACAGCCATGACAGTGACATCCATGTCATTGTCAGCAGCAACTGGAAGGCATCACTAATTGAAAGACATATCCTGATTTCTGAGCTGTTTTTTTTTAAAGATCTTATTTATTTATTTCCAGAGAGAGGTGAAGGGAGGGAGAAAGAGAAGGAGAGAAACACAATGTGTGGTTGCCTCTTGAATGCGCCCTACTGGGGACCTGGCCCACGATCCAGGCATGTGCCCTGACTGGGAATTGAATCAGTGACCCTTTGGTTCTCAGGTTGGCCCTCAATCCACCGAACCACACCAGCCAAGGCTTATTTCTAAACTGTTAAATATGATTGAATAGGTGTCATGGGAGACTGTCATTGCTTTGCAGCCTTAACACATGATGTTTATTTGGGATAACTTTTCATTTTTATCTGGGTTGGTTTAATTACTTCTTGTATTTCATATCTTCCTCCTTCTTGATTTGCACCCTCACTTTGCTGGAGTACATTCTGAAGTAACTTCTTTAAAATGAGTATGTGAGAGGCAAACTTTCTGAGACCTTGCTTAAAGTGCTGACTGTGTATAGAATTTAAGATTCAGAATAATTTAGCATCCAAACTTTGAAGACATTGCTCCAGGGCCTTAAAACATCCAGCATTACTGATGATGCATTTAATGTGGCCTAATATCATTTCTTTTATTTGTTTTCTCTGCCTGATATTCTGAAATTTAAAATAATGAGTTTAAGTATCAGTCTTTTTTTTATTCTGCTTGGCTCTCTATAGAACTTTTTCATTTTAACACTTCTGTCCCTTTTTAGCTCTGGGAAGGAGGAGCATACTGTCATCTTAACCATTTATTCATTTACACATAAACTTGGAGTTCTCCCTCTATGCGGTCCGCCTTCCCACTCTCATCTTGTGGCGTCCTGCTGAACCACAGCCTGGAGTCTCTCTGCGATTCTGCAGGTTGTTTCTCTCCTTTGCTGCAGACCCTTCCCATGTAGTCTGAGCTATACAGTTCTTGGTCTACTGACTTCCCCAAGTCCTCCAGAAATGTTTTCCAATGTCCTACCTGCTGGCGTTGCCCCTACCACTCTTATTCCTTTTGTTCAATTTTTTACTCTCCCTGTTATGGTCAGTCTGCCACCTTGAATCAGAGAACTCTCACTCCAAGTACTGAAAACATTTAAAATGATTTGTATTTTTATATGCTTTGCAATCCTTTACCTTTTTACCCTTCCCTTAAACACATCCATCACGCTTTACCAAGGTGTAAAAACCTCATATATTAGCTATTTTAAAGTTACATAAAATGTCTGGTTTATTTGGCCATCCCCACTAAGAAGTGAATGCAATCTACATGTGGACCCAATGGTCTCTTTTCCAGCAGTTCACCTATTTCGGCATCCGCTGTCCCCTAGGTCCCCTCGGGTATGACTCAGGGAGAGGTAGGAGAGTTCAGTAGTGTTTGAATTCTCTACTTCTTTGTACCCTTTGAACCTTTGCAACCTTCCTGTAGTGTAGGTCTTTACTTCTCCCAATACTAACTTTTACTTTTAATTTCTAAGAACTGTTACAGAGAGTTTGGCTGTGCCCCAAGGAGACTTGAGGGAACCTGGCTTTCTACGACACCTTGTTCCCATTTTTTTTCCTCACAGGGAGAAGGGGACTGAAACATTCAGAGCCTCTATAGTTATTCCCAGCAAGGACAAAGCTGTCTTCCTCCTGAGCTACGAAGAGCTCTTGCAGCGGCGGCTTGGGAAGTATGAGCATGTCATCAGTGTGCGACCACAGCAGCTGGTGGGGAGGCTGACCGTGGAAGTGAATATTCTGGAGAGTTCGGGCATCACATCACTGGAGGTGCTGCCTCTGCACAACAGTAGGCAGAAGGGCAGCGGGAGGGCAGAAGGTGAGTGGTGCTTGCTGGGGACAACGAGGTATTCTTGGGCAACTCAGAGCAGGGTGTTGTCTTTAGAGCAATTTATAAAACAAATGGCACTTCTTTGACAAAAACTCTGAGTGTTTTTCAGGAATCTGAATGATTGCAGCAAAATAAAGACTGTGCCCTGTACAATTTTTTTAAGTCAGTCTTTATTAAGAAATTTTAAAATATTTAAATTATTTGACAGAGGAATTTCACTTCTGGTAACCTAACCTAGGTGAAACACCTAAAATATTGGAGATATTATATGCATGAATCCATTTGATAATACTTGTAGTAGCAAAAATATTCTATCATTCTAAATATTCAACTATACAGACATGATTAGTAGAACATCTTTACAAACATGATTCGGATACTACAGGGGGAAAAGACACAATTGTTCATACATCATAATGTTAAATATGATACCTTTGTTTAATACAAATTTGACAAAAGACTAGAAAGTTCAATAAAATAATCATTTTATACTAGGAGTGAGGGATTATGGGGTCATAAGAAGCATAAAAGTATGTTTTAAAGCTAATAGTTTAATTAGATATTCACTTGTGTTGGGCCTTATCCTATAGTGTCAGTAAGGCTTGGACAGGTGCGACCACAAATTGCACCAGAATCAGAATGACAAGATTTCAGATCATTGTGACACTGAGGCCAGAGAAATGCTGAGCGATAAGTGAACATGCAGAATCTTAATTCAACCCCTGTGACTGCAAGGAAAGTGGCCCAAGAAGTCTTCTTGTGCAAGAATATTTAGGAATGAGATTGGAAGAGGGGACAGGACAAATGACTTGACTGGGGCGGGAAGGGAATGTTGTGATTTTACATAATACAAAAATAATCCAGAAACAACTTCTTTGCATGAGAAGTGGTTACCCTCAAACTCTGGAGTGTGTCCTGGCCTGTGAGGGCCTGAGGCCTTCTGTTATGTATGAATTACAAACATTAAGTTTGATCCTCTCAATCTAGACTTAATTGAAATTTTAACATATTGTCAAGGTATCTGACATTCGGAAATGTCATGAGATGCAATACACTATTCTTATGTCATATAAGTGGTTGTGTATATGGTTAATGGATTCTAGTTATTGATATGAACTATAACCTTGAAAACATTACCTAGGCCCTGTGGAACTCAGCTTGCACATCTGCACATCAGGGCTGATAACTACCTCATAGCATCATTGAGAAGCGTTAGTGTGTGTGAAGTGCCTCACCCAGAGGAAGAGTTTAGTAATTGTTAAGCATTGTTATTATTATTATCATCTTATTTTTTCTTTGCAAATCAATACTCTTATTAGATTATAAGTGTAACTTTGAAGGCAGATCTTTGTCTGATTAACCTTTCTCTCCTTAAAATGCCTTTTAGAGAGTAGATATCTAAGTAAGTAACTGCAAATTAGAGGAGGAAGCAAAAATATAGATACAGGGTTCAGCACAAATAATGCTCCCTTTTTATGACCTGGTAATCTATACCAAATCTTCTATTACAAAATCATAAGCATGTAATTCTCTAAAATGTCATACTCAAGCACATCATATGACATTTTAGGTGAAATGTTCACACTGCTGTCCATCTCATGTGAGATATTCACGTACCCAACCAACCACACTCAATGGTGTTACTTCTGCCAGACCCTGTATATATATACACCAAAACTAATAGCAAAGAATGTTCTCCAATTTCATTTCTTCCTCATCATAATTTATAGGAGTATTATCTTACGTACAACTGTGTGAAGGAGATCTTTCTGTGGGGAGACTCTTTGAGAGTTTGTAGGATCTCAGAGAGGGCAGAGCAGCTGTGCTGTGTGTCTGTGGTGAATGCCCAGGGCTCAAGAGATGTGTACAGGCCTCCACGGGAGAATCTGAGGGTCATGCTGCACTAATGAGATGTATGTGTGTTTCGCCTTACTTTCAGAATGACTGTGACTCCTCAGAGATGGGTGCAAGTTGTGGTGTGTGTGTTACGCTTGGAGGGGGTATGAATCCAATTGTTGACCTGAAAAGTTGCTTACTGTTTATATTCAGGGCCTGAGAGAATCTCAGAGGAATTTTTCCAGACCATTGATCTCTTGGGACCTGTTTATTTTTAAGAAAATTGTTTTCTTAGCTCTTCGTCACAGAGCAGATATTTTCCCTCCAGAGCATGGAGATTTCACAAGCATTTGCCCGGGCCAGGTGCAGAGGACAGATTGCCTTTTTGCTCCTCATTCCCATCTTTCAGGGTTCAGCTGTTATTGTTCCTGCAAAATGGAAACCTCAGCAGGAGTGGCACACATGTTGTGATTTTGTCTGGAAGCTTGTGTGTTTCTAAAAGAAATCTGGGGTAGAGATCAAACTAGGCTTGGCTTTACACCAACGGGAGCTGTGATTGCATGAATGTGGATCCAGCCAATACATTCCTCTGTTAGAGCTGGCTAAGTTCAGAATTCAGAATTCTGGAGTTTCTTGAGGCCACTGGACCCGTTTTCATCTTTTAAGGAAACAATTCTAGATAAGGTTTACTATGTGCGAGATACTAAACTTGGCACTTTGCCTGAATCATTATCTTATTCAATCTTTATAACAACCCTCTTAGGAAGTGTTTTGTAAAATACTGAGGGTGTGAGTTCAAATTCCCAGTCTCTCATTCATTATTTAAAAAAACACACACACAAAAGCCTAAAAGCAATATCACCTATTTTTGCCTAGGTTTACTTTCCTGCTTTATCAGGATTGGGCCCATGGCTATTGAATTGTAAACTAACAGGCTCCTTCTCAGTCTATGAGCTAATTCTCTGAGGTGTAATTTGTAAGCCAAAGTGTTATACTTTCTGGATTAGTAAAACGTCAGCTCATGTACTCAGAACTCTTGTAACTCATGGTTTAGAATCTAAAAGATCACAAGCTAGTATACAGTGAAAGGCAAGACTCCCTCTCCTGCCCCCAATGCCCCCAGTTCCTCTTCCCTACATATTTTAGTAATGTGTGGGCTCAATGAAAAGAGTATTTGAAATTCAGACTTCCTAGGACGTTTTTGGGATGTGTTACCAGGTGAAGGCATACACCAGGATAGATAGTCCACCGGTGTGATTGGTTTAAGGCTGCTTATTTCACTCTCTGTGTTAAAATCTCAAACTTCCTATTGTCCCATGAGCCCAAAATTTCTGCCCCTTTCATGATTACAAATATTTTTCGACATAAAATTTTCATTTGTAATGAGATCCCTAATGGAGAAAAGTAAAATAAAATGAGACAAAGTAAGAAATAAGGTACCTTGCCTATTTTATTTATTCCCTTTTGTTTTACATTGGTGACTCTTGAGCTTGGCTACACCTTTACAGACACCTGGGGAGATTTTAAAAAATGAAATATAGATGACTGTGTTCTACATTAAACACTTGAGTAGAATTCGTCAAGGTAGGCCTAGGTAGCTGTATATTTTGAGATGCGATGTTCTATGAATTTGTATGAGAAACTAAGAATTTATATAAAGAAACTATAATGAATGTTTTAATATGTTCATTTATTTGTAAAACTAGAGAATAATACTATTTTTTCTACTTTCCATAGTTTATTAGAGCACAGCCTTTTTGGGATTTGGTGTATGTAGCTTAAAATATACTCATTTTAGGTGTCTAGTTCATTGATTTTTTAGTGCACTTGTAGAGTTGTGCAATCATCACCTCAATGCAATCTTAGAACATTTCTATCACCCCACGAAAATCCTTCTGTATCGTGGCAGTCACTCCCTGTTCCCACCCCAGCCCCAGGCAACTACTAACCCACTTTCTGACTCTAAAGATTTCAGATAGCTCTATTTTTAAAAGCTCCCCCTGGTATTCTGGTGCTCAGTAAGTGCTGAGAACCCGTACTTTGAACTTCCCAGAAGAACTTAGGGACATTAACTATGTCAGGATCTTGATCTACAGAAGCAACTTTTAAATTAAAAAAGATTATTTCTTTAACTTCACAGGACTACAGAATAACCTTTTAAATGACTTATTAAAGGATTTTATTTTTAGACAGACAAGAAGGGAGAGAGAAAGAGAGTAAGAGAAACATCAATATGTGGTTGCCTCTTGCACGCCCCTCACGGAGGAAACTGGCCCTTAACCCAGGCATGTGCCCCAACTAGGAACTGAACCCACAACCCTTTGCTTCGCAGGCCTGCACTCAATCCACTGAGCTACACCAGCCAGGCAGAATAACTTTTGATCTTTATTAAAATGTGTATTGTTCCTCTTGTTACCACATGTTTTTACTGTTAGATGCAGGCCAACACAGAATGACTCACACAGTTGGTGGGAAGTAGCTTCCTCCCATATCCAACTTCTGCTCATCAACATAGAAAGTTGAGATGGAAAAGTACCAACAGGCCATCTCTATGGGGCTGGTGCATATTTCTAATAAAGTCTCAAGCTCATTAAACTAGGTACCCCATCTTCTCTTGGAAAAGACAAACATGGTTGTTCAATGCATTTTGGTGTCAAAAGAAGTTGTTGTTTTTTTTTTAAATGTATTTTATTGATTATGCCATTACAGTTGTCAAAAGAAGTTCTCTACTTCCTCAGTTCCCACCACAGCTTCCTGGACCCATAGGAATTGTTGTCCTGCTTTTCCCACTTCTCTGCCCACCACTGTGAGAGAAGGCGCTCTTACCTCTTCGAAGCCCAGCTTAGTGTTTGCCTTCATCCTGGCTTTTTCACACAGCCTGACTTCTTGTTTCCACGCATTCTTTGGCATTAGTTCCCTTTTGTTCCCTGAGATTACCCTGGGCTGCTGACTTCATTTCCAGGCCTCCCAGCTGGAGTTCCCAAGACATCTTAACTCCTCAGTCTCTGTCAAGACTGAGGGGCCCGTGTGCTATTACCCTAATTTGACATTAAAAGGAAATTTTAGTTTCAGGAATGAGGGGACTTTTATAAATGTCTTGAGGTTCTTTCTGTGTCTGGCTCATCATGAAGGGGTGCTCCGCACTCAAGAAC